GAAGGAGAGAGAGAGAGAGGGGGAGGGAGAGAGGTGTGCAGTTTTCCCATCAGAGATCAAAAGGTTTAAGAGAGATGTATCCGGAAGATACATTTTAGTTTTGTGTAACCTTATAGATGTCAGTAGTTTTTCTTCCGTTGACTTGATCAGGCCTGAAACAACAGGCGTGAGACAGGTAACTCTTGAGTCGGAAATGCTGAGGGCGAATACGGAGACAAAAGCATGGTGAAATGGCATAGGTTTGACGCCTCTATCAACGCTATTATTAGGTATTTGATAGCTTTTAAGGACAAGCGGGCTAACCCAGATTTCGGTGGTTTCCAGAAATCTTGACCTTCACCAAAAATTGACGTTGTCCTACCTATAGGAGAAGTTTGGTTTCATTGGTGTGTATGTTTGTTTTGTTATGAAGAAAATTCTCCTCATTCATTAAAAACAAACAACAACAACAACACAATCTTACTCTACTTCCTTGACCATCAATGATTTATTTATAGAGGCACCAGCCATCCATGTCCAGGTGCTGTTTTAGCCTTACTCTACTTCCGTATGTATACAAAACGCGAAATCGTGATCACGACATAGATTTTATGATATTGAGATCATCTAAAAAGGATGCTCTAAATGCTAAATGCATTGATGTCCTAGTCAATTTAAATTCCTTAGATTCTAAGTAGATCATTACTTGTCTACCTCTGCTTTTTTTATTTCGTCGCTTATTTTTCCAGTGGGAGAAAAATGTTCTGGAACTCAGTGTCGATTCAGTGTGAACTTCGCCTGTCTTTGTGAAACAAATTCTTTCATTGGTAGATCTTATCATACGGTTGTTCGTGTTATCCTTCATTGGTAGATCTTATCACACGGTTGTTCGTGTTGTCCTTCATTGGTAGATCTTATCATACGGTTGTTCGTGTTGTCTTTCATTGGTATATCTTATCATACGGTTGTTCGTGTTGTCCTTCATTGATATATCTTATCACACGGTTGTTCGTGTTGCTTCCTCTTCGGTCTTCCCTTCCTGTTAAATGGTAGGTTGTACTGTTTGAATCCCAAGAAGCTGAGAATGTATCAGAATGTTATTGGGTCTGCTACGGATCTAATGGAGACGTTCTTTTGTAATTCTGTTTCTACGGTGCTCTGGTGTGGTTTGCTTCTTCTTTCCTATTAAAAATCTATCGTCTTTATCTCCCCTCCTTCTTTTTTGTGTTTGTTACTCTCTTGTAACACCTCTAATCTTCGGCCCTTATATGATCTTATTGTGCTGCAAGTGCCATAAAACATTTCATAAAACTAAAACTAAAACTTAGAAGATGGACGTTATTTCGACGATCTATTCTTTTCAATCACTTCACTGTGTATTGAAAATTACATTGTTCTTCTCTATCTATTATTCCCCAGAATATACAACAACCTGACAAGACTCAAGTCTACTGCCGGTCAAATCTGTCTTGCATCTCACCAACAGTCCTAACCACTTGGACCATGAGGAAAGACTTGAGCATCTGGAACACCGAGACTCGCCAATTCGTTATCCTGAATCCAGTGGGCGTGCACACCCACTTCAAATAGTTCTCCCGACATCCAGCAATTTCGAACACAAACCGACACCCATTTCGATAGCATTCAGGATGAGATTCAACAGTTGGAAAGGCTACGTAACCCCTTTCCTTTTCACCTGCTTGTTTCTGTACGCCGGGGCTGAGACGAGGAACTTCCTGATCCTCCACTCTTCCAAAGACGGGCTGAGGGAGCTGAGGATTTCACACAGGAGCAAACAACTCATGGAGACGACAGATGGCAGCCCTCTCTCCACCGGAAGTTTGGCCTTCACGAGAGTCACCGATGGTTTCCGATTGGTGGAGAGCGTCTATCGCTTTGGCCTACTTACAGACTGCGTGGTGAGTACTTCGAGGAGAGATATTCGTTCGTTCATATCCGAGTTCACTCGAGTACTGCCGGGGAAATTCGACTCGACCGTTGACGAGATCGCAACGGTTTACCATAATAGCACACACGCCAGAGATTTCGATTTCGACATCAAATCTGGGAACGGAAATTCTACAGCAGACGTAGATAGCGTTATCTCTCTACCTCATACTTCAGACTCACACTCAAACAATAACGGACTACACAACGCTAATGATGAAACAACATTTCTGCCAAGCTTAGGCGCGTCATCATCAACAACAACAACAACAACAACAACAACAACAATAACAACAACAACAACAACAACACCACAGTGGAAGCTGTCAGCCAAACTGTCCTCAAACAAACACCACAAGGAATTCCTCAACAAATACCGGGACCTGATGAGAATTCGGAAGAGAGTTCGAGAATGTCAACGCTTCCATGAGGAGGCGGAGTACCGCCTGCTCGTCCTCTCCTCTCCTTCCGTCTCTCCATCCATCTCGTCAGAAGTGACGGCTGCGAATGTGTCGAATTCTCGAGGAGAGAAAATGTACCCCACGTTTGAGAATATTTTTACCAACGCGGAAGAACGCGATTCGTTTCTGGAAGAAATGGGTCTTCGACAACACAGCGGGACACCGAAACATCGGGCCCAGAATCTACCTCAACGTCGTAATCATAAAAACCCGCGTCATAATCATCATCGTCATCGTCATCACCGAAAGCAGTCTCATCATCACCAAAATCGTCCCAATGGCCCAGAAAGGCGTAGAGGTCACGATGCAGAAACAACAGAAAAACACCAGAGTTCTTACGTATCTTTTGATACATTTTCTGCGAGAAAAGACAATAATAAAGACAGCGAAAATATACCGCTACCATCACCTCCATTATCAACTGATTCCTCTTTGACGAGTTTGAAAGCAGCACACTCATCGTTTTCATCGACGTTGCCCCTGTCGTCATCATCATCATCATCATCATCATCATCATCATCATCATCATT